CTGCTGTGCTATACTCACTGAGAGCTGCTCTATAGAACTAATGCAAATAGTATTAAATGCATGTGAAGGCTTTGTGGCCTTAGCATATTCTAGCTGGAAACCCACGGCACGAAATGTGACGTTCAAGTGGTTGGGACAGAGCACCACGTGTTGACTTCACGGAACCTCATGGAGTCGGAAGATGAGAGCAGAAAGGCATCTTAGAGATCAGCCAGACTAACTGCATTTTACAAAGGAGGAAACTCGGGGAGAGAAAACTATATGTTCATGGTTGCACTGGTAACTATGGCTAAAGACTCATGTCTTAACCCTTCAGTTCACTGCCTTCTCCCATGAGGCTGTTAATCGCTACTGAAGCCATCGTATTGATTTTTGAGATTCATTTGGTTGCTTTGTCACTCAGCACCCTTCAAGTTAAATCATGACCCACATCTATGCATCTGTGGAGTGTGCCTTTAGAGATTATATGAGGAACTAGATCATATTCGATGCAGGTGTCCAAGGAGAAGTGTAGGCTAGCAGTTCAGAACACAATGCCTGAATGATGGTAGCTGTCAAAAAATGTGTTAAATGAGTGGGATCAACTCAAAGGCTGATTTTGAACATAGTCTTTGTCTTGTTTGTTTGTTTTTAAGTGCATTGCCTATGTTAAACCCTTCAGCTTGAAAGCTGATGGTGCCTGGCTATCAAAAGATACAGCGTCTGGGGTCTTAAAGGCTTGAAGGTAAACAAGCGGTCATCTAGCTCAGAAGCAACAAAGCACACATGGAAGAAGCACACCAGCCTGTGCGATCATGAGGTGTCGAAGGGATCAGGTATAAGGCATCATCAGAACAAAAAATATTACCATAGTGAATGATGTGGGGAGTGCGGAGTAGAGACCCAAAGCCACTGGAGATCCGCTTGCAGAGGGGTGTCGGGGAGGAGATGAGCCAGTCAGGGTGCAATGTAGCAATGATGAAAAATACAACTTTCCTCTAGATCCTAAATGCTCCCTCCCCCCATGCCCCCCTCCAACTCTCATGATCAGAATTCTACCTTTCAAGTTTGGCTAGACCAGAGGGTATACACTGGTACAGATAGGAATTGGAAACACAGGGAATCCAGGGCGGATGATCCCTTCAGGACCAGTGGTGTGAGTGGTGATAATGGGAGGGTAGAGGGAGAGTGGGTTGGAAAGAGGGAACCTATTACAAGGATCTACATGTGACCTCCTCCCTGGGGGACAGACAACCGAAAAGTGGGTGAAGGGAGATGTCGGACAGGGCAAGATATGACAAAATAATAATTTGTAAATTATCAAGGGCTCATGAGGGAGGGGGGAGCGGGGAGGGGGGGAAAAATGAGGACCTGGTAATAGGGGCTTAAGTGGAGAGCAAATGTTTTGAGAATGATGAGGGCAATGAATGTACAAATGTGCTTTACACAATTGATGTATGTATGGATTGTGATAAGAGTTGTATGAGCCCCTAATAAAACAATCAGAAAAAAAAACAAACCTTCAGCTCTCTACTTTGCTGATGGGTAGACACAGTTCTTAGGGAACTAAGTATCATTTTGCAAATAAGAAACAGCCGAAAGCGTTCAGCTGACAAACTACGGATAAAAATATAAGTGTGACAATGCCTTTTCTTCGTGTGACCCAGGCTGGAATGGCAAAACACAAACTTTCAGAGTCTGCTGACCCAGTGAACTCAACATACAGAGGGCATTTCTTTCCAGAAATAAGCTTTTGTCTCTTCTTTCTGATCCGACACTCATACCCTTACAAACTCAAACATACACAAGTGCACTTTTCTTTGTGAACACACATGAAGGTATAAAGGAACTTGGGCAGCATAGTGAATAACAACTTGGTTGTTAACGGAAAGGACAGTGGTTCAAAGTCACCAGCGGATAATGGTCATCTGCTTCCATAAGGATTATAGCATTGAAAACTCAATGGGGCAAGCTTATTCATTCTGACAGGCCTGTCGTGAGGCAGGATCGACTGGATCGCAGTGGTTGGGGTGTGTGAAGTTGTATGCCTATGTATCACTCTTTAGCACAGTGCCATATTTTTGCAACATAAAATCTTTCATCCAGAGGGCCACCTTATTCTGCCCTGCAGACATCTGGACAACCAGATCATTGAATAACCCATGACTTCATGCTTTATCTGATTAGTTCTCTGAAAGGGATCATAAGACATTCTTGAAAAACCTAGAGGCCGTCAGAGTTCTGAATAATCACAGAGGTGCCCCCCCCCCACTGTATTTTCCTGAAAGGCCATGGCCGTCCTGAGCATTATCAAAGGAGATCACTGTTTGCATCAGAGACTTGAAAAGAATGAAGTTTAAAGGTCAGTCAGGAGAAATGAAAGTTCATCTGTTGTTGGTGTGTCACATGAAGAACATTTTATAACTTTCTTTCATTAACTGGATGATTGTGGGGGCACCCCCCCCCAAAAAAAAACCCAACAACGAAAAAACAACCTCTGTAGTAGAACCCGTGTAAGAAGTGCTTTAAGATTGTCATGTGCTGGTCCTGAAAAAATGCTCTTCCTCCCAGGTGTCCTAGACACACTGGAGCACAGTGCACACATGAGCATCTAGTGACGTCAGGTCCCTTGACCTTCGTCCATGTCCCTAAATACTTAGGGATCATTCTCTTTTCACGACCTAGAAAATAACAAAATAACTTTGAGCTCAAAATTAAGGGTAAAGATCAAAGTGAGGTATGTTACCGTTATCTTCCTAAATCCACTCCACCTTCAGTATGTTATTCCTTCCAAGAAAGTTAGCTTGTTAAAAATACGACTGCTTTTGTTTTCATGTACACAACTTTATAAGAATCTTAACATAAATAAGTCCCCAAATCAAAATTAAAAACCTTTGACTGGTTACATAGTTTGAAGGGCTTTGTTTCAAGAACCCAGTCTTCAGCAACCACTAGTAGATACAGCTGGAAATAATAGAATTTTGCGCACTCTTTTCAGTCGTTTGAAAATAACTGTAATTTTTTTCACCATAAACTCTGGCCTCCAATTCTGATTTCAAAACACTGGCTATAATGTCTTTCATATTTTTGAACATGCTACGGAAATGGAAGGCAAACTCCAGTACCGTACAGTTTGAACGAACGTGCTGAGTGCTTTCCATACTCGCTTCCACACCGTCCCCCTTTGATGTTCGCGTTACCATCACCACTTTGCAAGTGAGGATGGTAAAGTGTAGAGTGTTTAAAAAACTCAATATAACTTTAGAAATTAAAAAAACTGAACCTCAGACTAAAAATGCTTCTAGCTCAAACTGATGTCATGATGCCAATCCTCGGTCTTTTTTCTCTTCCTTTCTTTTCTCTCTTTTTTTTAAATAGAGGTCCCTCTTTGCCCCATAGATTGCCTTTAATGGTAGAATGTTAGTTCATTGTTGATTCCTGCATTCAATGGTATAATGCTAGTTCATTGTTGAATTCCTGATCTTAGGTGTCTAACAAAGACCTGTCCAATGTAATGGAATGGGACATTCCTGGAATATAAACCTGATGGAGAAGATAGCACAATAATTGAGAGGATATAATGGTGGAAAATATGCATGGACTATAGATTGCAACATGTCAGGTGTGAACTCTGCTCCCCAAACTTACCATCTATGTAATGTGAGCAAGTTACTTCACCTCTCCAAGCCTTGATTTTCTCATTTGAAAAAAGATAATAATTGTATCTTCCTGATCATGTAGATATATCACATTTCTGATGGTTAGTAAACATCTAATACATGTGAATTATTATTATCCCCTGAGTTGGATTAGACGGTGGATACCCTTTCAATATAATGTCTAATGTACTGATGTATGATGCTGGTGTTCATATCGCTTCCCACTAGAATGCAAGTTTAAATTATAGTTATACTGGGCAGAGTCTCATGTCGAAATCATTATGGCCCAAGTGTTCAGGATAATGTTGTCAAGTAGAACGTTCTGTGATGGTGGAACCGTTTATGGAACTGGCTCTGTCCACACAGCAGCCCACCCCCACGTGTGCTTTCAGGACATCATGGATGAGAGCCTGTACTATGACTGGAGAACTTAATTTAAAATTTTATAAAGTATCTACCATTTCATATCACTTTAGTTCATTTAAAATTAAAGTTACATTAGAGCATGTTGTAAATGAATAATATGATAGGGCTTCAAAAAGTTCATAGAAAAATGGAATTAAAGCATGATGGGGGGTACAAATATAACACCTTATTTTTTGATCTCCCTTTGGCCCATTTAAAGTTGTTTCAGTTTTGAATA